AAAAAAACCATGGGGACAGGGCGGGGTAGGGCACCCAGGCTCCATCCAAGCACAGAGACTGGAATGGAATTCCTCCCGTCCCAGAAATTGGGTGGGAGTGAGGGATGGCCATACCTCCATTCACCAAGAGGGTGTGGGGTATAAGAGTAGGAAGGGGAATGTCGCACCTTTCCCGTGGTCCAGGTAGTTCTACTCTGTCTTATAGAATTGCCGAGTTGGAATTCACTCAAGCATAGTGGGATTTTGGCAAGAAAACCAAAACAACAAAAACTCTGATTAAGTGCCAAGTCTGTGGCAAGTTATCTACAGGGTCCCTTTAAAGCCCACACTGCAAAGGTCAGTGGCAAGGCTCTGGTCCCTCGTTGTTCCTACCCTGTATTCTATCCTGGCCACCAACTCTCTAGCAGTCACAGGACTGAGGGAGAGAAAATAGCTCAGTGCAAATCTTTTCTAAACCTCAACAATTGTCAGCTAGTGTCTTACTGATATTATTCTCATAAGAAGGGTAGCTTATTTAAGTTTCAGAAGGGGGAGATAAGTAATTTGGTGTTGAGGAAAACGTTAGACTAGGAAGAAAGCATGTACAAAAAAGGTTCAGAAATTATGGGGAGGATAGGAACATGGAATAAAGAATTTACTTGTTTAGTAACCACCCCCCCAAAAAAAATTAGTTGCAATCGAATCGATTCCAACTCATGGCAACTCTGTGTGTTGCAGAGTAAACCTGCTCCCCCCCCCCAAAAAAAAACGAGGTTCTGGTGGCACAGCAGTTAAAAATCTCGGCTGGTAACCAAAAGGTCAGCAGATCACCAGGCCTTTTTATGAGGCACCTCTGGGTGGAGTCTAACCACCAACTTTCTGGTTAGCAACCGAGTGTTTAACCATTTGATCCAAACAGGGAGGAACTGTTTGATCTTCAAAGACAATACAGAGATCTAAAGAGCCACCATGGCTTAGGTTCTATATATCCACTGCCACTGAGTCGATCCTGACTCCTCCCATAGGGTTTCCAAGGCTGCAAATCTTTACAGAAGTAGATCGCCTCATCTTCTTTCCACGGAGCAGCTGGTGGGTTTGAACTGCCTGTCTTCTGGTTAGCATCCAAATGCCTTGCTAGGTCCTATGTAGTTGGTAAGATATAGGGAAGTGTGTGTGATGTCTGAGTGGAATTATAGAGAACTTGCTAGGATTGTGTTCTCCTTACTTCCACATACTAGCCTTCCTCAAAGGAGCCCTGGAGGTGCAATGGTTAAGGACTCAGCTGCTAACCGAAAGGTCAGTGGTTCAAACTCACTAGCAGAAAAGATCTGGCGATCTGCTCCCACAGATTGTTGTTGTTGTTATGTGCCGTCAAGTTGGACCCGACTCATAGCGACCCCTCCTTGGGTTGCTGAGGCAGTATTACTAAGGAAGTAGATTGCCCAACCTTCCTTCCGAGGAGTGGCTGGTGGATTTGAACTGCCAGCCTTCTGGTTAGCAGTCAAGTGCCTTAGGCGCTTGACTGTGCTACCAGAGCTCCCACTGTAGTCATGATTTAATGGCAGGAAATGGTATCAATTAGGATTGAGTTTGACTGTGGATAACGTTGGCTGGGCAGTCTACTTCCGTAAGGATACCACCTCGTAAACCCAAGAAGGGGTCACTATAAGATAGGTCCGACTCAATGGCATGTAACAACAATGGGTAACGTTAGGTTTAAGCTATGACTTAAATATCATTTACTTTATGTAAAAGAAGTCCAGCAGAGGTAGAAAGGGTTTCTTACTCTGCATTCTTAAGTGTGCTACCTCAAGATCCAAGCTCTGGACATCATACCTACGCTGTCTTTTAAAGAGGTGTCCTGGTAACTGACTGCCACATCACACTTCCCCTGAAATGTCATTGGCTACAACTTATTTCCAGGCTACAGGGAAACTGGGAAATGCAGTTTGTATTCTAGGCAGCTATGTGCCCAGGAAAAATCAGGGGTCTTTTTTAACTAAGGAAGAAGGGAAGAGTGGATAAGAAAGTCAGCTAACAGAGTCTGCTACACACAGATAATTTAAAACACCAGCTAAAAATTATCTAATACAAATACAATTTCTATTTGAAGAAGGAATGTATGGTTACATAGTTATAAAATCAGGAAAGGCAATATGAAAATCATATAGATACTTCAAGGTTATCTTCTGGTAAGTGGACTGTGATTATTTTTCTCAAAGTGTAGTATATTTGAAAGTAGACTTACCTTTCTAACCACATTTGCCTTAAGCTGATGACAACTTACGGGGATTTTATTGAGGGAGAAAGTCCCAACTTAGCTATTTGTAGAGATGACACCATTTGAGGCAAAAAACCAAAAGAGACACTTCATTTTTGGCTTTATGACTGAACCAGAAGAAAAAATATAAAGATACATAGGCATTCTTTAAACTCAGTTGTCTACAAGAATCCTAGTTCTCTCCACATTACTCAGCGGAGGCCTAGAGCAGAAAAAAAGTTTAAGTCGAATCCCAAAACAAACCTGTACTACTGTAGCTACCACCCAAGAATTGTCCTCCTTTGGCCCCTGGGAGCCACCTGTAGGCAGTGGCTCAGTTTAAAAGGAATGGCTAATCTTCCAGGGCAAGGATGGGTTGGCCAGACACCATCACCCTGGAAGTTAGAAGCCTTGAGGCCTTTGCTACAACAAGCAGGGGGCTACACACAAGGGAATGTTGGATTCCTATCAGCCTGTATGTCCCAGGCACCATGAGAAGTAAGAGGCATGATTCTGATCCTAGGAATTTAGTCTAATTAGAAAAAAAAAGGGCTTATGGTCACACTGATAAGCAAGTCCCATGCAACAGAGACAAGTAAGGTTACAAATTATTTTTGGAGAGTGGAGAGCAAGTCAGGGAAGGTTTCTTGACTACTTTGAATAAGCTTTCAGAGGGCATGATCATAGACTGCTGATGACCACTCTTTCCATCTCTGAAAAAGTATGTGTGTGTGTTTGCAGGGGTTGTAGAATTTCTTGCCAGAATCTCTAAGGTCCTTCATTTGGCAGAAGCCAGCTGCTGACTTCTAGTTCTATCGACAGTGAATGAGTTGAACTGCTTTCATGCAAAGGGAAACTATTTGCTGTTTGGAAATCTTTAAAAGGTATAAACCAAGAAACATTCCAACAATTTTATCTTAATTTTGATCTTTTTTTTAAAAAAATACTTAAGAACAAGCTTCATGTGTAAACTGTCATTGATCCTCTTGTAGAAGTCGCTAAATAAGAAACTTTTGAAGAATTCACTAAACATATTGAACATCCTAAGCTTAGTTTAGGAGCTCTGGTGGCATAGTGCCTAAGGCATATGACTGCTAACCAGAAGGTTGGTGTTTCAAATCCACCAACCACTCAACAGAAGGGAGACGGGGCAAAAGATTTACCAAATCAGAAACCCAATGGGGGTTACCTTGAGTCTGAATCGACCTGATGGCAGTGGATAAGCTTGGTTTATAATCTTGGTATCTCTTATGAAAGAATGTGAGAAGAGGTTCAAATAAAAAATGGAAAAATTTTAAGTTCAATTGTGAGAATGCTTAAGCATAGTTTTATATTGGAAACTCATTTAGGAAATGTCATTAATGAAGAGAGTTGATGTGCTACTGAGTATTTCCCAGTTTGAAGTATTTTCTTACATGGCTTCCTGTAAGGGCTCAGGTGTAGTTTTATATTGGAAAGAACTTTAAGGCATGTTTTTAAGGAAGAGGGATGATTTTCTACATTGGTAAGTTTTTTTTTGTTGTTTTTTTCAAATGAATTCTAAAAGAACCTCTCTGATTTTATACATTTAAGCCTGGATTACTAACACTCTATCAAAGATAACAGAATCTCGCCTCAGGAATCTGGGTTGCCTTGTAATACCTGGCCTTCCCCCAGGGTACACACACTGTAGGAAGCCACAAGAACTTGGCTCAGATTTTTATTTCTGCAGTAATATTTATGTCTTTTTATTCAAGGTTTGCAGATACTAGGTTACAAAAGTTAGTGTGACCAAATTCAGGTTTAAAGATGACCAAGCTCATTTAGCTAGCTGTAATTTTTTTGAAATCTATATTGAAAGGCTGTAAAAATGCTCCTTAAGACTGGTACACCATGCAATCCTCAGTCTATATATGACTGTGAGACCAGAAGAACTAGATGGTGCCCAGCTACCACTGTCAACCATTTGGAGGGGGATGTATGTATGAGATCCTGGACAGAGTGGGAGAACAATGTGGAACAAAACTCAAAATCATTAAAAAACAAAAAACAAACAAACAAAAAAAACAGGTTTGCTGGTCTGAGAGAGGCTGGTGGAACCCTTGAGACTGTGGCCCCTTAGCTGCCCTTTGGGTCGAGAATTGAACCCACTCCTGTGGCTTCCAGACAAACAAAAGACAGGAATGTGGGCTGATACACTCCTCAGAGAGATCAATCATGGGAGAAAAGAAGGGCTGTGTATGCACAGGGAGACAGCTCAGGGGGCAGAAGTCCACGGAGGGAAGGACACAGAGAGGTGGCAGCTATGGGGAAGAAGTGGGAGGGGAGCTGTTGCATTGTGGGAGATTGTAGTCAATGTCATGAGACAAAGTGTATGTGAACTGCTGTAAGGAAGGTGAATTTGCTCAGTAAACTTTCACCCAAATCACAGTAAATTTTTTTTTTTAATGCTTCTTAAAACCTATCACAGTGGACCTCAGAACAAGAGGTATAGTTGGGAGCTTCAGGCTAGCAGGGAGACCAAAGTATCAGGAAAAAAAACAAACTCATTGCCACTGGGTCGATTCTGACTGAAAGCAACCCCCTTTGGGTTTCTTTACAGAAGTAGATTGCCCAGTCTTCCTTCCAAGGAGTGGCTGGTGGGTTTGAACCACCAAACTTTTGATTAGTAGTCAAATGCCTTAGGCACTAAGCCACTAAATCTGAGTAGAGGCCCTCGAAAATGCTAGTATCTTCCTCTGTCCCGCCCTCTACCCACCACTTTTCTTTCTTTTACCCTTAGGCCTGCACTGCCTGAAAAGAAGGTGGCTGATCTCAGCACTCTGAACGAAGTGGGCTATCAAATCCGAATTTAGCTCAGCCATAATGGGCAGTAAGAGCTTCTGCGGTGCTTCTCTCTGCACTTTACCCAGCATCTTCAGGAGGAACTGCAACTATTTATTAAGAACGTGTGAATTTTATTTTTCAGGATTCACCTGGAAATAGAATCTGAGTGGGTAATAACAATTAGACCTTAAAAAATTTATAAAGTCACAAACCCCACTGGGGTTGGATTGCTTCCTCACTCATGATTCAAAGGGTTTAACAACCATAACTGTAGTTTTATATTTTCCCATTTACCTACTTGCTTTTCCTTGCTTTGAACATTATGCCTGACCAGTAGTCAATGTTCATGAAATCCTCTCCCTCATTTTTGGTACAGTAACTCAATCAGTATTAATAATGTCTTCTTCAGCAATAACAGAAGCAGAGAATGGGTGGGTTTTTTAAGCAGTCAGTATTACCTCAGCATCTTGACATCAGATATGCAAACTTAACGCTGTTTTGCTTTTTAATATACAATTTGTATTGTTTCCCCAATTTTCTCATGGGGAGCTCCACAAGTCTGGAGTTTTGTTTTGTTTTTCCTGGTGCACACATGTGATGAGATTTATGGTGTTACATGCAAGTGTTTTACTAAAAAGCACTGAAATTTTGCCAATACGGGAAACTACTTTCAGGATCTTGGAGTTACTTCTTTCTTAATCTTTCTTAAAGCATTCACTGACAAGTTTTTGTCCTTTCAAAATAAAATAAAAAATCATGTTTAGAAGCTAGTGTATGTTCTGTCACTAACATTTACACTTTGCAGATTCCAGCATAAAGCACAAGAGGTCGTGCACTGTTACACAGATTTAGTGGTGTTGTGATTACCTCCGCCAGTAACACCCTTAAAAAGACAAGAGGCCAAGAGTGAATCAGTAGATCGCAAGAATCAGGTGGTAACCTTTCTGTTCACATTTCATCTGATTTTTAAACTCTGAGCCAGCCTTTGATTCTGAGGACTCATTGCTGTTAGAGATGTTTTCTGATGTCTTATATTAAGACCAAATGTGACATAATGTGATCTTTATTTTCCCAGTACCTTGCTTTTAGGTACCACAACAAGTAGTAGAAAATACAATGAATTAGAGAATCAAAAGTGGTTTTCTTTTCTTTCTTTTTTTAATGGGAAACTCTTCCGGTACAGTGTTACACCTTATAGCATGTTTAATCTATGAAGCACAGTATAAATATCTGGCCTGCAGATGCTAGTTACAGTGTAACTTCTGGCTGCCAGCCACACAGAATAACTCTAACAGCATACATAGTCTGTATGTTATCAAGAGTACAGCTTCTATTTCATTTGTTTTATCTTAGCAACCATGCCAACTGATGAGACCAACAGGCATTTTAACTGAAGTCTGCTAGTTGACAAAAGTGCTATTTCAGTCTCATTGCTTCTCTCTGGCTTTATATCACCCAAGAGAGTTATGGAAAGGCAATAAAAACAAAAACACTGTTCATCAGGATTCTTTACCCATGAAACTGTAAAAAGCACTGAAATTCTTCTGGCAATACATAATGGTGATGACATGGAAAGCAAAACTTTACCCTTCAGCCATGTGCACGAGAGCTCACTTTTCCCTAAAAAATCACTATTAATGGAAAGTACTGTTTTCTTTGAAAAAGAAAGAAGTCCTTTATGTGAATACCAATAGGACCAAATAATTGTACATCTCAATTATATTAAAATACAGTACATGTTAAAAATCCTGATCTTACATACTTTCTTCAAGAATATCATTATCAGTACAACAAAAAATGAGTGATCTCTGTGTATATTCACAAGGCAAACACAGATATGTCACATTTATTCAGATGTCTGGAGTAGTCTGGGGATTGTCTTATTCTCATTCTAAAACAATACTGATGTAGTCATTTCTATATAGACATATAGCTTTTGTTGATAAACAATCTGTAACTTTATTTTATCCAACCAGTAGACTACTTGGCAACCATTCGAAGAACTTGGAAGAGGATTTGCTAGTATTAGATTTGTCCTTTCTAAAATACAGAATGTCAAAAAATTGCACAGCCTCTTGTTCCCCACAAAAAAAGGGGAAAAGAACAGGACTAAACTGTTTCTAATGTGCTGACATGTAAGCCTTTAAACTGTTAACTGGCTTAATGATTCAATTATGAATCAACTTCTTCCACTCCCATTTCTTGATTTTCAAATTCACTTCCCAGAGTAAGAGTTGATCACAGAAACATGAAAATTTATTTAAAATATGCTTAGTTGTCAATTCGATTTGGATTCCCTATGTTAATTTCTAAAAAGATAGGGAAAGGCACCAAACCTCTAAACTCTAGTGCAATAATTTAATTAAAACACTACCAAGGCAAGGAAAAAAAAAATTACGTTTTACCCCTCAAAAGATAAAACTGAAACTATGATTTGAAATCTAGGTTTAAAAAAGTTATTAATGCAAGGGAAATTTTATGTTTAAGCTATCATGGCTGTACATGCAAAGTTTAAATGAATGACAGAAACCCTGATTTTAGATTATACATGTTGTGCTGTTTTGAGTACACTTTATTTCGGAAAGTGATATTTAATATTTTCTATATACTGAAATCATAAGCATTTCACTTTTTCTAAGTCAATTATTTCATAAGGATTTTATTAATAGATATTGGTAACAGAACTTTGGAAATTTTAATTGTCTTCTTATACTTGAGGCTTTTGTAAGCTACAGTTTTATGTACAATCTTGTATAGTTTTTTTGACATATAATTCTGAATTTGTTTATTCTCTTGGACTTTGTTCTGGCCAATACATTTTTTTTTAATCTTTAAGAAAAACTGTGATTGTTTTAGTGGTATTTTTCTAAGTAAATGAAAACTTGTACAATGGTATTTTAGAGAATGCCAGATAAACACATGTATCTAGTTAAATGTTTTTCTCATCACTTGTATGTTTATATACAGCATGGAACTTTAATAAAACCATCCTGGAAACTAAGGATAAAATTTTTTTTCTTCTAAAAATATAAGCTGGTGTGATTTTTTTCTTGTCCTTTCATTACTTGTTTTAGTGAACCAATTCATAATCCTCTCACCTTTGTCTTTCACAATTTTCAGATTCTGTATTACGCATCACTCAGTTCACTTATTTTTTAGCATCACCCTAAGTAATAAAGGCTGAAAAGGGTAATGGAATGGTTTAGAAGAGGCAACAGGCCAGTTTACACCTACCACAAAAACATCAGGCATAGATGTATTGATATAATTATTAGGTAATTTACATATACAAAGTACAAATGACTTGAAGCCTTTCCCCAACCCCTTGAACTCTCTGGATCTCTAAATTTGATTTTTAAGAGAGCAGAAGATTAAAAGCAGACAGGTAAATTCTAAAACAAGATTTCAAACATGCATATTATCTTGATGTCAAAAAGTAAAACCAAGATTTCTTTATTCCATAATTCCTCTGCATTTAAAATTAGGATAGTATGGCACTTGAACAGTGTGGAGATTTGGTTTTAGCCATTAACTAGATTTTACTGGTTTTGGAAGGCAAAAAATAAAAAGTTACCAACTCTTCTGACCAAATAAAAGTAAAGACAGGTGGATCAAAATTTCTAGTGGAGTGCTTCAACAATCTGTGACAATTATTACACTGACCCTTTGGCCTCCAGTCCACAAAATAATACTTCAGTCCATAAGCTATAGTACAAAGCAATTTTATGAATTAACTCTATCAAAGTGAAGCATACCAAAAAAAAAAGCCCTAAAAACACTTACTACTCAAGATATAAAAAATTAAATTTCCACACAAGTTTTCAGGGACATTAGTTAGCAATGACCTATATATACTTACTTAGTAATGAAACCACACAACACGACACAGTGATTAATCAAATGAGTTTCCCTTTTTCTCAACATTAAAAAGGATAATTATACCATCTATCATTAAAATTTGATGATGACTATATCTGCCAATTAGGATTCTACCAACTATTACTAGAAAATGTGGAAAAACCTAGAACTATAGGTAATACGGTAAGGACAAACTGAAAAAAGTGAAACATTTAAAAGTACTCACTTATTACAATTTTCACTAGGCAAATCCTTACAACCCACATGCCCTCTTTGGGGTTTTATTTTCAAAAAATAATTGTAGTAAGTGCTTTGGTACAAAAACTTTTAAAATTCAAGAGTATGAACTATTAGTTTTTCTATTTAAGATGAAGCATTCCCTTAAAAAAACCCAGTGTAAAAACTTGTATAATTCAGTGCAAAATTTCTACTTAGTAAAAATGCACATAATTCTTCGATCCCAGTGTCTAAAACAGTAATTTTTCACTTTGTTTTAACATTTTTGATTCAAACACTTTTATATGAGTCAATTGCAGGGTTTGTTAGACCTGCCCTTAACCACTCCATAAAAAACGTTAGCACCATCATCTCAACACGACTGAATCATTGTAAAAGAATACTGAAGACAACGTTTTAGGAGCAAAGTCATTAAAACCAGGAATTGAAATTACTAAATAATAGGTCTCCAAATGAGTATCGCACTACCGAGTTTTGCAGACTTTTGCACATTTCTGAGGCATAACAAAAATAATCTTATAGTTGCCACTTTGTTCCAAAGACAATTTCCTAATAAAATTAATTTCTACAATTGGTTCAGTAAAATAAAACCTCTCCCCTAATTCAGGGATCTTTTCTTGAAACTGCATGAAGAATAAAATTGCTAGGGAAACAAAGGCATAACCCCAATGTCTCTGCCTCTCTTAGGCTCACCTCTGCTGCAGTGGTGGACAGTGGGCTTGTATAAGGCACCACCTACTTCTTATGGTGATCTGTACTTCCTAATCATTTCCCCAACAAAATGCAAATGGTTTGGGATAGTTAATGTGATGGATTAAGCATTTTGTATTTCAAAAAACAATTATCAAGCCCCTTCAAAACTGACCCAAAATGCTGGGATTCTTGTGACTAACACACTGATTTCTGAGATGAACTAATTAGGACTCAGCAAGGTTCTCCCAATGAAATCGGGCCTCATGGAAAGAAACTCGCTGTAGTTTGCAAGCATTTGGATCCATTCTTTACTAAGAGAACTAAAGATGCACTGTATTTAAAAATCGTCTATTTTACTAAAATTTACAATAAAAAACATTTACATAATCGAGTAATACTTTAGCTTAACTAGTGAAAAAAGATCTGCCATGAGCATTATGCTCTTTTAAGAACTATGTATATGGGATCAAATTGACAACAGCAGCCATGAAGATTAGAGAACAAAACCTCAGCAGACAGTCAATTTCTATTAATGAGAGAGGATCAACTCAGAATGGTACAACTGGAAGAATGTAATCAAGGTCACTAAAATTGTACATGTAGAAACTTGAATTGGTGTATATTTTGCTGTGTATTTTCTTCTTAACAACAAAATAAATAAAATTTAAAGAAAATACATTTACATTTTTTTTTACAATAAAGAGCATTTAGATCTCACTTGTCAGATATTTTTCAATTTTAAAAAAGAAAACTTGTAAACTTGTTTCTTCTGTATTTGCTTCAAGCATTTAACATAATCTCTTCAGAAACTCCATAGCGTAAAAATAACATGCAAACTCTTAACTGTACATTCTTTGAAAAAAAATATACGATGGGAAGAAAGTTATATAGGTAATGAAAGAAAAGTCAGAGCTCAAGTCTGAACTTAGCCAATAAAGGTAGATGATCTGAAGAGTTATTTTCATTTGGAAGTCCATTGACAGTCCATAAGTCTTGTTCTGTAAGAAGTGACAGTCTTGCTAGGAGTTTCAAGCCACCAACCAAAGCAACTTTAGCTCCTATTTTTTAAAAAAAAACACGTGTTTAGTGAAACTGTGTCAATAGGTTATAAATTATTCATACATAGTGTTTTCTAAAAATACAGAACTTGAGATCCTCCAAAAGTCTAATGTGAAATATTTTTTAGAATATGAAGGTTTATTGAA